TCTCTCTTTCCTTCTTTTCTCTTCTTCCTCCTCTCTCCCTCTCTCACTCATATCTCTCTCTCCTTCCTCTCCCCCTCCTCCCTCCTCCCTCCCTCAACCTCCCCATCCTCCCTTCCCTCCCTCCTCCCTCCCTCCCTTTTCTCCTCACCATTCCCTCCCTCTCTTTTCTTCTCTCTCCAGACCTAGGCCGGGTCGGGTCGCCTGCGCCTTGCCTCGGATCCGCGTGAGGCGCTCGCGATGACGGCCGTTGACAAATTACGCGCCAAAACAAGTGACGTAGCCGAGATGCGCGAAGAAAGCCATGCCTCTAGCGTAATTAATTATTTTTCTTATCCTTTGACGATCGCGAGTTGGTAATTAATATTTCATGTAGCTTGTCTGCCGTTTCAATAGAATATATGTCTTTTGTTTTTTAAAGAGACAATTCGAGATTATCAAATCTGCGGTGAGACTCAACCTGCCTCAATACAGAAATTAAAATGTCTAATAACCACGAAACAAAGAGAAAATAAAAAACGAAAAAAAAAATCCAAAAACTATAATTTAGAAAAATAAAAGAAAAAAAGACAGAAATAACTAACAACAATAATAAAAAACAGCCTACACCATACTCCCATTTATAAAAACAAACAAAAACAAAGAGACAAAACGGACACGGGATAAAATTTTAGCCCCCCCGAACGAAACGAGAGAGATTAGGAAGACAAAGGAGAGTTTCCGCGCGAGTCACCCTGATCCGTTTTAGCGTGGAACTCCGGTTGTCCGCGGTCTCTTGCCGCCTCCAAACATACGCAGAGATTACATTGAATGTTCAACGGAAATGAACACGAAAGAGTGAGAAGAACAAGAGAAAAAAACAACCCGGGTGGCCGGGTGGCCGAGGACAGGTGGGAGAGTGTGGCGGGAGGTGGAGTTGGCTCCTCAATGTCTTCAATTCTCACTCCTCGGGGAACCAACGGAAGAGGGAGGGGAAGGAAGAGAGAGGGGGAGGAGACTGCGGTGGAAGGAGGGAGGGGAAGGAGGGAAAAGAGGAAAGAGGAGAAAGGAGGGAGAGACGCGGAGTGAGGGAAAGAGGCAGAGAGCAGAGAGACCGAGAGAGGACGAGCAGAGAGAAGAGCAGACGAGAGACGAGAGAGGGCAGAGAGATTAGAGCAGGAGAGAGAGAGAGCAGAGAGAGAGCAACAGAGAGAGAAGAGAGAGACGGAGGAGTTTCGTATGGGCTTTTGAAATGAAAACAAACTATGCCATTATTTTTCACTTTTCATATTACTTCCCTTTTTCTTATTTTTCTTTGATGATTTATATTGCAGTCAACTGTGAAATGACAACCTCACACACACACACACGCCATTTACTATATTACATACTCTATGTATGTTGTTATATATGTATATATATATATATATATATATATATATATATATATCTATATATATACTATATTATGTAATTTATTTATTTATCATTATATGAATGTTCTGTGTGTGAATCATCCAATATTTCGCTACCCATTGCACATACACGTACACACACCAACCACACACCCACACACCAAACACACACACCACACACACACACACACACACGCGCGCGCAGTACACACACACGTACACACACCACACACACACACACACACACACACACACACACACCACACACACACACCACACACACACACACACACACACACACACACACACACACACACACACACACACACCACACAACAACACACACACACACGTACGTACACACAGCATACGCACTCACAAAAGCAAGTGCTCCCCAAGAAGTGTCCAGTCATGTTCCGAGAGAGTGTAGCCTCTGACCCGTGCCTGACGTGGCCTAATTCAGAGGAGACTGAGGTTATGTTCAACAAATCCTCTCTGTGATGTTTGAATCCTTTTTAAGGATGTTTGAGGAATGTTTTTCTTGTCTTTCTGTTTTTTTATAGACTTCTTATGAATTTTACTGTTATTTCTATTATTGTTGTTATTATTGTTCGTCCTTATCATCGTTATGAATGTTATTATTCTTGTTATTATTATTATTAGTAGTAGTAGTATCATCATCAGCATTATTATTATCATTATGATTAGTATCACCATCATTTTTATTACCATCATTATCATTATTATTGTTATCTCCTTATCATCATCATCAATTTTGTCATTATCCTCATTATCCTTACTATGGTAGTGCCAGCAGGGCATTGCCATGCTGAACCCCTTATAATGGCCCTTATGGTATGATATAAGGGTAGAGGGCCATTGTCTTCCACTGTGTTCGATGGTCCCCTGGCTCTCTCGCTGTGCCGTGGCCCTTAGACGCTCGTGAGTGCCAGACTCTCTCTCCGTGGTGCCAGGGTTGAGGAGTGCCTGCCTGTCTCCCTCTTCCTTGGCCTTTCTTTGAATTTTTCCTTTCTTTTTTTTCATATATATTTGTCGGCCTATCTCTCTCCCTCCTCTCTCTCTCTCTTCTCTCTCTCTTCTCTTCTCTCTCTCTCTCTCTCTCTCTCTCTCTCTCTCCTCTCTCTCTACTCTCTCTCTCTCTCTCTCTTCTCTCTTCTCTCTCTCTCTCTCTCTCTCTCTCTCTCCTTTCTCTCGTTCTTCTTACCGTCTGTTCTGTTGTCACCTGTGAAGACAACACTGGGATAGAAGACAGACAAAGAGAAATACGAAAAGGGTACTGTTAAGACACAGAAGAATAAAACGAAATGTATAGTGTATTAAGGGGAACGAAACGTTAGGTAAATCTTTCTTAAGGAATTGTGAGGATAATGAATTTGAGATATCTATTATGGGTAATAACTTTTGAAATGGTTTGAGATATGCTTCCTTTACAACTTCTGCGAGAATATGCGTATACTTTTAAGGCAAAGCTAGTTGTTGTATTGCATAAGTGGATATATTACTTTTTGAATTAGAGAGAGAGAGAGAGAGTCGACGAGAGAGAAGAGAGAGAGAGAGAGAGGAGACGGAGAGAGAGAGAGAGAGAGAGAGAGAGAGAGAGAGAGAGAGAGAGAGTGAAAGAAATAAAGGGAGAAAGAGAGAGCGAGAGAGAGAGAGAGAGACAGGAGAGAAATACTGAGAAGAGAGAGAGAGAGGAAATCGGTTAATGATAGATAGAGAGGAGGAGAAAGAAAATAATATAGACAGAGAGGGAGAGAGAGAAAAGAAATATATAGATAGAGCGAGAGAGAGAGGCGGATCTAAGAGCGGCGACTGACGACCCTGTGAGCTATGCTGCGTTCTGCTGAGTCACCGGCCATATTCCTTAGCACTAGCGAGGGAGAAACGAGGGTGTGTTTTATTACCGGCTTTTTACGCACACGGCTAACAGTAAAGACGGATAGACAAATAGATAAAGAGGGCGTGAAGTTATACAAAGCACGAGAAAGAAAATATACTACCGTTTGAAACCCACGTGGCAGAATTCCTCGACCACGTGTCCTAGACCTCTGAGTAACAGTTTTGCACTAATTATGAAATGGACTTGTAAAGAAAGGAAGAAAGGAAGAAAGAGAGCATATACGCCTTTGCGGGAGTCCTTGTCGTGTCCTTGGTCAAAAAAACAAAACGATAGACGAAGGAAGTTGCAAAAATCAATCTAGTTTGTTTACTCTCCGGCGTCCATTCATCTTTTGGGCATCGATAGGCGTTTCGCAATGCCCTCTCTCCCTTTAGAGTGAAATCAAATCCCGCAAAGTTTGTTTTCGAGAAGGTGTTCTACGCACGGGGGTTTATTTGAGATAATATTCACCCTAAACAAGGAGAGGCGAGTGAGGGGCCAAGGTTGAAACCTCCTCCATCCTTCTACTGCTCTTTCTCGACTGCAACTCCACCTTTCGAATTCATTCACGTTAAGAGAGAAAAAAAGAAGAGAAAAGGGAATTCGTTGGACTTGAAGAGATAGATCTGGCCTTTTGGAAGGACTCTCATGCGCCACCGCCATAACAGAGGGTGTCGTGTTGGGCCGTTGCTAAGCTCTCGTGTTTAGCCCGCTTGGTCGCGTGTGATCGGGAAGGTGGACCCAAACAACCGCTGTCCGAAACGTAAACTGTTTGATCCCCGGCGCGTGGATTCGGGCGTGTTTGTAACTGTTTGTAAATAGCGGCCATTAAAGCTAACATTTACATGGAACGACCTTGACCGGGTCAGGGGGGAGAGGCCGGCAGGAGGTTTGGTAGAAGAGGCACGGAGGGGATGGCGGGACCGTCAGTTCACCTGCTGGGGGCGGTGAAGGAGCACGCGCGGAGGACACGCTTCGTCCGAGAGACACGGGGTTGCCTGCGTTGCTTTTGGAAATGGACAAGAGTGGGGGTGAAGTGAGGATTTTCTAGGAAAAGAATATCGGAAATTCTTTCTTCGACGGAGGGGTTTCAGAACGAACCCTGACCTGTCCAATTAATCCTGTCGAGTGATTTCAGTCATGCAATCGAGAACAGAGTGATCTGGTGCTTCCCCGAAAGAAATGTGATTTGATATCCATTCGTACGAGAATTCCTTAGATGTTAGTGTCTTGTGCAATCAATCACGTATCCAGTTAAGCCGAAACGAGAAGTTTACTGAACAGCGTATATTTGTAAACCCACAACCACGTCACAACTCTCGTATTTCCAATAACCACACAAAGAAAATGAAGTCACCATAACCATCAAAGGCAAATGAAGTCATGATACCAAATCGAAGCAAATGACGTCACAATAGCCATCCCAAGCAAACGAAGTCCTTATAGCCATCCCAAGCAAATGATCGAAGCAAAACGCAGCTCCCTGTCTTCGAATCCCAATCCCTTTTATTACCCTACGACGAACAGAACCCACTA